ACTCTCCACCATTTGACCTTAGAACTGAAGAAGCTTCTCGGATGAGAGGTGAAACGTCTTCAAGTAACTTAAAGAAGTCCAGACGCTTTTCTTTGCAAGCGCCTTTGACTACGATGACCTGGATGACTGAGAACCTTCACAGACAGTATAAGTATACTGGAATCATCTCTTCACAACTAAAGATGGATGAATACATAAAAGTTTTTTCAGGGTGTGCGTGGAAGAGAGGAAGACATGACCCAAATGCTGGACTCACGGTGCAGGATAATGGAACCAAATAATGAACCAAAACATAAACAATGAATATCAAAATACAGTGAAACACAAAAACACTGGATCACACGACCCAGAACCATGACATTTAGTCTGTTACTGTTACTGTCTCGGAGCAACTGTAACCCACGTCATTTCCTCAGGGATTAATAAAGTAATCTGATTGTGATATGACTGAGGACTCAAGTGCAGGACACAGTGAAAGGTTCAGAAAATGTAATGAACAGAACTGGATTTGTTTTTTAATCTATAGAGCTACAGAAAAGGTTGGTTAAACTGCCGCGTGGCTTGGGAAAATAAGTTATAAGTATTTAATTGAAGTTTTTCTTCTTTGTGTTGTAGTTTTGTGTCAGAAAATTGTGTCAGAATGACAAATGGAGTGATACTGAGATCTTTCCAAGACTGGACAAACTTGTGTTTGAAACATGGGACGCCATCCTCAACACACAAACATGAAGAAATATGCATTTGGAGTCACGTCGAGCTTCGGATCCACATACGTATGTGAGCATCTATTCTTCACCATGAAACAAACACCGCTCACACTTCACAGACAACAGCATGCAATCCAGCGCAGATGAAAGTGACTTACAGCCCCGATTTGCAGTCCCATTAAGTCCCATTAACCAGGTAAAATACATATTTATGCAGCTGTTTTCAAAATATTTATTTTTCATTGTTTAGTGACATAGTGCTTTTTTCCCAATGTATTTTTTAAATTCAGGTCAACGTTCTGCAACAAGCTCCGAAAGCCCAAAGGCGATATAAGGATGACTGCTCACCACAGTTTTTGTTTGCTACATGGACAATTTAAGTTCAGCTTTTTATTTGTTTCTTTTTTGTTATTATTTTTTAAGAGTTCAAAAGAGTTTTTAAGAGTTTCATTAAATAAATACAATTTAATTTTCTCTGTAGCACTTCATGGATTTCATAAGCAACACACTATAGTTTATACAAAGTGTAAAGGTAAAAAAACAAACAAAAAAAACAATATATACAGTCGGCCCGACCCCTGATTTAGCAGCACAAATACATGAATACATTTTACTCTATATTTATTTATTTGCACTATAGTTAAAAAAAATATAACTAAACTAAACTCAAGTTTTTCTTTCCACATTTCAACATTTTTCCTTCTTTTTCATCATTCAGTTTGTCAAAGACTCCAAGCTCCACAATCCCGGAAACAGCAGGGATGGATATTAAAATATTTAGGTTATATTATAAAATTTACAGTAAGTCTGCTCTGAGGAGGAGAGAGAAAAACATGCTGTACTTCAAGAGCCGGAGTCTGCTAGTAAAAAATCTTTGTTTGCAGTGTAGAAAATGTGAAGCATGCCCTCAGTGTTCTTGTTCCTCAGCGACAGTGTGTCCCAGTAACAGCTCCAAATCACAGATGTGAAGGTTTTCTTCTGTAGTTGTTCATCTGTTAAACTTCCAGCTTTGCTGAGCTGACAGCCAAAATGATTTTAGCTTCTAACTTAATTCTTAATTAATTCATCTTAATTGTAACTGTTCCGTTCTTAGTTGCTGGGAGATAAAATGTGTTTGCTCTGGAATTCATTGAAACCTTCTGGCCATCATTTATTCCTTTATGTCCAGAACATAGGATAGGGAAGTTTTTTGTTTCCACCTGTCTTAACTGTAATTGTTACTTGACAGAAGCAGTTCCCTGTTCACTGGAAGCTGCTTTGTTGGTGTCAGATGTGTTGGTTGACCCAACAAAACTGAAATGAAAACATATATTCATTATTGAAAAAATATCACTTCTGTAATAAGTCATCACATCAATCAATGTTTTCTTAATATGATATTCTGTTTAATTCTGCTTTCATTGAGCTCAGTGTTTTCATATCCTGGATGTTGTTCAAATTTTGTCTGAAGGTGAAACTTCTGCTGTCTCAACTAAAGAGATGATGAAAGCTTTTTGTAAAAAAAAAAAAAGTTTTTAATTTTATGGACTGATTCTTATGTAGCACTTTTCTACTCTCCCAGAGTACTCAAAGCACTGTATACCACATTCACAACCATTCTCACAAGCAGTGACTCTAAACTGTGTTTTTCCAATGAGATTCACACGCACTCACACGCCGATGGATGCATCAGAGAGCAACTTGGGGTTAGTATCTTGCCCAAGGATACTTGGCACACAGACTGGAGGAGCTAGGGATTGAACTGCCAACCTTCCGATCAGTAGGTGACCTGCGCAACCTCCTGAGCTACAGCCACCCTATGAGAGCAATGGTGCCCTTTAATATGGTAAATGGTAAATGGCCTGTATTTGTATATCGCTTTCCTTAGTCCCTAAAGACCCCAAAACACTTTACACATTCAGTCATCCACCCATTCACACACTGGTGATGGCAGCTGCATTGTAGCCACAGCCACCCTGGGTGCACTGACAGAGGAGATATGTTAGTTTACATGCTGTCATTTGTACAGTGTTGTAGTTCATTACAATGTATTTCATTCACTTACTCTTGCTTTGTATGGAGAGCTGGGGATGCATCTGTATTTAGAAAAACAACAACATTAGTACAAGCATGCTAAATAACATTTACAAACAAAGGCAGACTCAGTTTTACCTTTTTCGTTTTTTTTATCCAGCACAGGACTGCTGCTAATACTGCTATAACAAAAAGGCCTCCAATGATCCCTCCTATGGTGACTCTCAGCTGGTTTAAATTCAGACTCTGAGAACTGTCATTTGGTGGATCTTTAAAAAAGAAAAAAAATCTCTTCAGTTTGAAAACAGAGACAGTAAGGTAACAACTGTTTGCTTTTCCTGTCATATGCCAGCATGTCCTGAGCAACACAGGACAGGGGGTAAATGTGTGTGCTACCACTGTCTCTAGTATGTCCTTATCTTTGTAGTTGTTTTTAGCACGACTCGAGTTTTGTTCATATTACTTTGTCAGTTTACAGGCCAATATATTTTCCTATCTGCAGCTGTAGGCACCACCTGTGTGTAGAGAATTAAGGTCTATGATTGTGAATAAAATCAGTTGAAATTAGTTTCCTCTGAAGAGGATCCAGTGTCAGCCTTAGAAGCAGGTTGTAGAACTTGGTCATTTGGGAAGGCTGAGTAAAGCTACTACTCCTTTTTACTGAAAAAATAGCCTGCATCCCTCCCAGGTAACATGTTTCAGGTATATAATGTAAGACCTGCTGCAGACACGGGACATACTGGAGAGATCACATCCGTGGTATGTTTATTGTGTGTTTTTCAATTATTATAAATTGGGGTCAAAATGAACCAGACTAGTTTCATCATATAAATACAAGACAAATAATTTTATATGAAATTAATTAAAACTAACTAATACCAGAATCAAAAGATGGCGAATAGACTTGGACTGCCTGTTGGCCAAAACCTGCAAGCGGTGTTAAAGAAAGGGTTTACACTACATGCAAATTAACTGTCACTTTGTAAAGATATTAATACTAATCAATTTTTCCTTAGATGACATTAATAACAACTTATAATAATTTGAAAAATATTAAGTTTTCATCTCACTGTAAAACATTCTTATGGTCTCCATGGACCTCAGCTGTACTTTATGTATGTTAAGTATGTTTATCAGATGTGTAAGGTGAAAAGCTGTCTTCTCTGGTCACTGGCAGGATGTCCCCTTATATCTTAATTAGCTTCAAACATGAAAGCAAACTGCCTCCTCAAAATCCTCAGACAAGCTTCTGATTCAAACCCAGAACCCTCCTGCATAAAGTGGAAGTACCCACCCCACCACCATAATGCCTCAGTGGGAGCAATAAATACTGACTAAAGTTCCTACAAAAAGACCTCAGCAAAAACATATGTACATGTAGATGTATATGAATGGACTAAGCACATTTTAAACATGTTATGAGTGTACAGTAATACTAAACTCTCTTCCTCTGGACTAGATGAGATCAATCCACCCCTCTGTCTGGAAAATGACTCTAAATTGGACTTTGGAACTTATAAAACTAAAACTGATCAATTATTAAATAGTGTAATATAATTTTAATATTTTTTTGTTGAATCTAACATGCATCATATTTTATTAGATCATACTTCTTAATTGATATAAAAAATAGTAGCCGAAGCTGTCATAAACATGCTGTAAATGTGTATAGTTAGTATTAATGACTTTGCATCCTTACTTGGTTTAAATAAAGTTGCTCTCTTTCTGTTTCTGCGAGTGCTGATGGTGCAGCTGTAGTCCAGATCAGTCTCACTGTCTGAAACTATCAAAGAGCTGCTGATGTTGTAGAGAAGCTGTTCAGTCAGCTGGACTGTGATTGTCTTGGAAGTTATGCTAGATGAAGGGCTGGTGGACCAGGTGAGTTCAGGTTTAGGGTAGATGCCCTCTGAGCTGCAGGTGATGATGTTTCCTACCTGCTGAATGCTGACTTTTTGGATCGGAGCTGCAAAAGCAGAAAAAACAAACATGTTTTATTTTCACATATTTTACTTTACAAGTTTTTTAAACAGGGGAGTGAAGCTGATATTTAAATATAAATATGACCAAGTTTAACAGGAACAAGGATTTCAATTTTTGTATCTGTGTAAGTTCTATGAGGTGTTTTGAATCAGCTTTTTGTGAGCAGCAGATCTTTTCATGCTGTGTGGAAGCTTTTTTCATTATATTAATCCATGTTCCACAACAGAAAGATTTATTATCATGGTTGCTTTTCCCACACATTTTTGAAGCAATCAGGATAAAAAAAGAAAAGCTCTAATAAATATTAAATTTTATGAATATAAACATTTTACTAGCTTTTCAGTTTGAATATTTAACATTGCGACTGTTTAGTGTTACCGGTGATTTGCATTTTTCCTGCATGTATTTCATCTACAGATGGAGCAATTG